GTAAATACACGTCTGAAGATGTAAGGCATGTGTGCTGGAAAAACGTCAGGAACAAATTCCTATCGAGGACGCCTTAAAATTGCTTTTAGCTCTCTTTCGCCCTGTGGCATGACGTTTCACTTAAGACTACGCGAAGGAAAATCAAGCAAAACTCGTCACTTTAAGGACAACACATCGGATTTGTCATACAAAATGCCTGCATAATATTCGATAAAATTCGCTCAATATTTATTTATTCATATATTCCGGAACGCTTTCGCGTTCATTGAAACTTGCTTGGAGAAATGGAATTTTGCTCCTTTCGAGCCTAAATCAATAGACTTCATTTTCAGTATCTATCGAGTGGAACGCTTCACATATGGAGTATTTCTGTATTTGTACGAATTGATGATTTGAATGCAGATTAGATTTTAGTTACAGGAAAATCCGGAATTTCATTTTCGGCATGCATCTGCCGGAACTGGAAAATCATTGTGAACCATTCAACGATCAATAGAATAGTTTGTATTTCGCTACCTACTGAATTTGTCTAGACAATTTCAGTTCGGATGTTTTAGCTGCATTTTTTCCGATTTTCAGATTTTTCGGTTTTTAAATAATAAACAATTTATTTGCATTAAATGAGCTTTCAAGGCTAAACCCTGACTTTTACCGGTTTTCAATCTAAAGCTGATGAAATTCTGATTTTCGATGATAGTCTGAAACTGATCGGTTTCACGCAATGCTTTCAAACAGAACATCCAGAAGAGATTTGAAATTATTGAATTCTTTAAAGGATTTATGAGCCTAAACGGTCACAAAAGCTCATTTGACTGGCGGAAATTCCCGATTTTTGCGCGCTTTGCCAATATCGATCTGAATCTGAACGGTTTTACGTAACTGCAGGCTCTTGAATAAAAAATCAAAACTTTCCATTTGGATCTAGAAGCGACTTGAAATACTACGATACGTTAGAAGATTCCTGAGCTCAAAATTTTTTAGTTTTCCGCGTCTTTTAGTCTGAAAATAAACGATTTTACGCAAGTGCAGACTTTCAAGCAAAAAATCCCAGCATCCATTTTAGCACCAGCAGGATGCTGACATTCATTCAAAGCCCTTCGATGTTAAAAAATTTGAAAAGTTCATTTAATCGGGCGAATTTTTAATGTTGTTTGCCCGCTTGCGGCCCGAAAACGAACGGTTTTACGTATCTGAAGGCTCTTAAACAAAAAAATAAAATTGTCAATTTGGATCTAGCAGGGACTTGAAATACTACAATACGTTAGAAGATACTTGAGCTTAAAAAGCATCCAAAGTTCATCTGATTTGCACTGATTTTTAGTTTTGCGCGCATTTTAACTGATGGTCTGCATCAGTTAAAATGGGCGCAAAACTAAAAATCAGTGCAAATCAGATGAACTTTGGATGCTTTTTAAGCTCAAGTATCTTCTAAAGTAGCGTATTTTGCGCACATTTTAACTGATGGTCTCAAAGTAAACTTGAATCTAGAAACCCTGAAAATTATGTTTAAATAGCGCGTATGGCTGATTTTTGTGGGTTTATATCAAACTGTGGAGACTCTCAAATAAACACCTGAATCTTCCAATGAAGTTGCTGTGATTCCTGACTTTTACACGCATTTTAATTGGAAAATAAACGGTTTACGCAACTGCAGACTATCAAAAGCGAAATCCCAACATCCAATA